GAAGGAATCAATAACAGAATAACTGAGGCAGAAGAACAAATAAGTGAGCTGGAAGACAGAATGGTGGAAATAACTGCCAAGGAACAGAATAAGGAAGAAAGAAAGAAAAGAATTGAAGACAATCTTACAGACCTCTGGGACAACACTAAATGCACCAACATTCAAATTATAGGGGTCTCAGAAGAAGAAGAGAAAAAGAAAGGGTCTGAAAAAATATTTGAAGAGATTACAGTGGAAAACTACCCTAACATGGGAAAGGAAATAGCCACCCAAATCCAGGAAGTACAGCGAGTGCCATACAGGATAAACCCTAGGAGAAACACACCAAGACACATTATTAATCAAACCAACAAAAATTAAATTCAAAGAAAAAATATTAAAAGCAGCAAGGGAAAAGCAAAAAATAACATACAAAGGAATCCCCATAAAGTTATCAGCTAATTTTTCAGCAGAAACTCTGCAGGCCAGAAGGGAGCGGCAGGATATACTTAAAGGGATGAAAGAGAAAAACCTACAACCAAGATTACTCTACCCAGCAAGGATCTCACTCAGATTCAACGGCAAAATAAAAAGCTTTTCAGACAAGCAAAAGCTAACAGAATTCAGCACCATCAAACCAGCTTTACAGCAAACGCTAAAGGAACTTCTCTAGGTGGGAAGCACAAGAGAAGAAAAAGACCCACAAAAACAAACCCAAAGCAATTAAGAAAATGGTAGTAGGAACACAGATATCGATAATAACCTTGAATGTAAATGGATGAAATGCTCCAACTAAAAGACACAGACTGGTTGAATGGATACCAAAGTAGATCATAAATATGCTGTCTACAAGAGACCCATTTCAGACCTAGGGACACATACAGACTGAAAGTGAAGGGATGGAAAAAGATATTCCACGTAAATGGAAATCAAAAGAAAGCTGGAGTAGCAATACTCGTATCAGATAAAATAGACTTTTAAATAAAGACTGTTACAAGAGATAAGGAAGGACACTACATAATGATCAAGGGATCAATCCAAGAAGAAGACATGACAATTATAAATATTTATACACCCAACACAGGAGCACCTCAATACATAAGGCAAATGTTAACAACCATAAAAGGGGAAATCTACGGTAACACAATAATAGTAAGGGACTTTAACACCCCACTTACACCAGTGGACAGGTCATCCAAACAAAAGATAAATAAGGAAACACAAGCTTTAAATGACACAATAGACCAAATAGATTTAATTGATATTTATAGGACATTCCATCTGAAAGTGGCAGAATACACTTTCTTCTCAAGTGCACATGGAACATTCATTCTCCAGGACAGTTCACATCTTGGGTCACAAATCAAGCCTCAGTAAATTTAGAAAACTGAAATCGTATCAAGCATCTTTTCTGACCACAACGCTATGTGACTGGAAATCAATTACAGGAAAAAAAAACTGCAAAAAATACAAATACATGGAGGCTAAACAGTGCACTACTAAATAATCAAGAGATCACTGAAGAAATCAAAGAAGAAATTAAAAAAAAATAGAAACAAATGACAACGAAAACACCATAACCCAAAATCTATGGGATGCAGCAAAAGAAGTTCTAAGAGGGAAGTTTATAGCAATTCAATCTCACCTCAAGAAACAAAAATCTCGAACAATCTAACCTTACATGTAAAGCAACTAGAGAAAGAAGAATAAAGAAAACCCAAAGTCAGTAGAAGGAAAGAAATCATAAAGATCAGAGCAGAAATAAATGAAATAGAAATGAAGAAAACAATAGCAAAGATAAATAAAACTAAAAGTTGGTTCTTTGAGAAGATAAACAAAATTGATAAACATTTAGCCAGACTCATCAAGAAAAAAAGAGGACGCAAATCAGTAAAATTAGAAATGAAAAAGGAGAAATCACTTCTGACACCACAGAAATACAAAGGATTATAAGAGACTACTACAAACAACTATATGCCAATAAAATGGACAACCACGAAAAAATGGACAAATTCTTGGAAAGGTACAATTTTCCAAGAGTGAACCAGGAAGAATTAGAAAATATAAACAGACTTATCACAAGTAATGAAATTGAAACTGTAATTAAAAATCTTCCAACAAACAGAAGTCCAGGACCAGGTGGCTTCACAGGCAAATTCTATCAGACATTTAGAGAAGAGCTAACACCAATCCTTCTCAAAATCTTCCAAAAAACTGCAGAGGGAGGAACACTCCCAAATTTGTTCTGCAAAGCAACCATCACCCTGATACCAAAACCAGACAAAGATATCACAAAAAAAAAAAAAAAAAAAAAAAAAAAAAAAACAAAAAAAAAAAAAAAAAAAAAAAAAAAAAAAAAAAAAAAAAAAACAGACCAGTATCACTAATGAACACAGATGCAAAAATCCTCAACAAAATAGGAGCAAACAGAATCCAACAACACATTAAAAGGATCATACATAATGATCAAGTGGGATTTATCCCAGGAACGCAAGGATTCTTCAATATATGCAAATCAATCAATGTGATACACCATATTAACAAATTAAGGAATAAGGACCATATGATCATCTCAAGAGATGCAGAAAAAGCTTTTGACAAAATTCAACACCCATTTATGATAAAAACCCTCCAGAAAATGGGCACAGAGGGAACCTACCTCAACGTAATAGAGGCCATATACGACAAACCCACAGCAAACATCATTCTCAATGGTGAAAAACTGAAAGTATTTCCACTAAGACCAGGAACAAGACAAGGATGGCCACTCTCGCCACTCTTACTCAACACAGTTTTGGAATTTCTAGCCACGGCAATCAGAGAAGAAAAAGAAACAAAACGAACACAAATTGGAAAAGAAGAAGTAAAACTGTCACTGTTTGCAGATGACATGATAGTATACATAGAAAATCCTAAAGATGCCACCAGAAAACTACTAGAACTAATCAATGAATTTGGTAAGGTTGCAGGATACAAAATTAATGCACAGAAATCTCTGGCATTCCTATATACTAACAACAAAAAATCAAAAAGAGAAATCAAGGAAACAATCCCATTTACCATCGCAACAAAAAGAATAAAATACCTAGGAATAAACCTACTACCTAAGGAGGCAAAAGACTTTTACTTAGAAAACTATAAAACACTGATGACAGAAATCAAAGATGACATAAACAGATGGAGAAATATACCATGTTCTTGGATTGGAAGAATCATTATTGCAAAAATGACTATACTACCCAAAGCAATCTATGGATTCAATGCAATCCCTATCAAACTACCAATGGCATTCTTCACAGAAATAGAACAAAAATTTTACAATTCGTATGGAAACGCAAAAGACCCTGAATAGCCAAAGCAATCTTGAGAAAGAAAAACGGAGCTGGAGGTATCAGGCTACCCAACTTCAAACCATACTGCAAAGCTACAGTAATCAAGACAGTATGGTACTGGCACAAAAACAGAAATATAGATCAATGGTACAGGATAGAAAGCCCAGAGATAAACCCACACACCTATGGTCACCTAAACTATGACAAGGGAGGCAAGAACATACAATGAAGAAAAGACAGCCTCTTCAATAAGTGGTGCTGGGAAAACTGGACAGCTACATGTAAAAGAATGAAATTAGCACATTCCCTAACACCATACACAAAAATAAACTCCAAATGGATTAAAGACCTAAATGTAAGACCAGACACTATAAAACTCTCAGAGGAAAACACAGGAAACACACTCTTTGACAGAAACCACAGCAGGATCTTTTTTGACCCACCTCCTAGAGTAATGAAAATAAAAACAAAAATAAACAAATGGGACCTAATTAAACTTAAAAGCTTTTGCACAGCAAAGGAAACCATAAACAAGATGGAAAGACAACCCTCAGAATGGGAGAAAATATTTGCAAAGGAAACAATAGACAAAGGATTAATCTCCAAAATATATAAACAGCTCACGCAGCTCATTATCAGAAAAACCAACAACCCAATTAAAAAATGGGCGGAAGACCTAAATGGATACTTCACGAAAGAAGACATACAGATGGCCAAGAGGCACATGAAAATATGCTCAACATCACTAATTACTAGAGAAATGAAAATCAATACTACAATGAGGTATCACCTCATACCGGTCAGAAGTGCCATCATCAAAATATCTAGAAACAATAAATGCTGGAGATGGTGTGGAGAAAAGGGAACCCTCTTGCACTGTGGGTGGAAATGTTAGTTGATACAGCCACTATGGAGAAGAGAATGGAGGTTCCTTAAAAAACTGAAAATAGAACTACCATATGACCCAGCAATCCCACTACTGGGCATATACCCAGAGAAAACCATAATTCAAAAGGACACATGCACCCCAATATTCACTGCAGCACTATTTACAAGAGCCAGGACATGGAAACAATCTAAGTGTCCAATGACAGATGAATGGATAAAGAAGATGTGGTATATATATTGAATGGAATATTACTCAGTCATAAAAAGGAACAAAACTGGGTTCTTTGTGACATGGATGGACCGAGAGTCTGTCATACGGAGTGAAGTAAGCCAGAAAGAGCAAAACAAATATTGTGTATTAACGCATATATGTGGAATCTCGAAAAATGGTATAGATGAACCTATTTGTAGGGCAGGAATAAAGACGCAGACATAGAGAATGGACATGTGGATATGGGGGGAAAGGGAGGGTGGGACGACTTGGGAGATTAGGTTTGACATAAATACACTTCCACGTGTAAAATAGCTAGTGGGAACCTGCTGTATAGCACAGGGAGCTCAGCTTGGTGCTCTGTGATGACCTAGATGGTGGGAGAAGCAGGAGAGGGAGGTTCAAGAGGGAGGGATATAGGTATACATATAGCTGATTCACTTCATTGTACAGCAGAAACTAACACAACATTGTAAAGCAAATTTACTCCAATAAAAAAAAATAATTGATTATAAGAAATAAATAAATAAAAATAAAAACAGTCCTTTATAAAAAAGAAAATACACAAAGTATCTAATAAATATACTTACGTTTGAAGGTTTAAGTTTATTAATGATTGTTGTTTTGCCACTATTATCCAGTCCAAGGCACAAAACATGAACCTCCTTCTTCCTCAGGCCAAGCAAGCCTGAAAGTCTGTCTAGCAATCCCATAATATGAGCCAAGTATTTACAAACCAGCTGCAAGTCAGGAAAAAAAAAAAAAAAAGATATATTACCCACAGGCACCTTAAGAATAGAAAATATGAGCATATGTATCCCAAATTTCAGAATTTAAAGACACAGTGATATTGTGAAAACCATGTCAATGTAGCTTTGCATTTAGTAAACAGAGTTTAAGCTGATTACCAGAAAGGAGTCTTAACTGAAACGTAGATTGGCAGATAATAACCCCTGGCAACACAGAATAATGCCCTTGAAATAACTGTACATTTCTCATCGTAACATATAATACTTAAGAAGAAAATGTGGTTAAACTCAGAATCATGTGGAGTCTGCCATTTGTGATACTTGAGAATATTTGCAGCCTTTTCTGGAAATCTGGAACGATGATGGGCAATGGCGTTCATGGGAAGCCTGATGCTGAGGCTTAGAAAGTAGAAGGCAGACCAGAATAACAGAGAAAAACTGAGATTTTGGCTACATCATTTGAGCCACTGGTCAAATCTTTTTCTAAAGCCAGCCCCATTGTAGTTTGCAATAATACAAAGTAATAAACATTAAATTCACCATTTTTGTTTCTTTGCTTGATTATATCCAGTTTAGGTTATGTCTTCTATCAAAAGAAACAAAAAATCCTAACTGATATATTTATCTTAATTTTTCCTTAGTCCTTACGTATAACTTTGTAAGTCACCACAAATCCATTTGGGAAGAAGGTTATGTATAAAACACACACACAATTTGAACCTTAATAAATACCTGTTTCTTTGAAACTATAACTTACATGAACTATCCTGTTAAGTATCATTTTAAAAGAATTTTAACTAGTGTACTAGTAAAGAATATGAATGTAAATACCAATCTTACATTTTCATCTCACTTTCTCAAATATCATAAAAGTTTCTTTGTTAACTTGTCCCTGAAGTGTTCATTTGTTTATCAATTCTTTCTTTGGAAAAAAAAATCCTTCCAATGCAAACTTTCATAAAAACTCCATCAGTAAAATCCAAACATAAGCATTCTGAAGTCAGATAAAACTGCTGATGATGTGTTGCTGGCTATGTGATAACTTTATGGCTATTCATACCCTTCTAAGGTACTGTTAGATTTAGACTTCAGGTCTCCAAATGAAACTTTCCAAAGGTTCTTCCCTTGGGTCCATCACCACCTCCACCTCCCAAAACATTATTATGTGGTGGGAGAAGAGAGATGCCACTTTTGCCAGCCCTCAACTGCTGCAGGGACTGCTACAGCAGTAACTACAATACATCTGTATTCCAAACATTTCCTATTACTCTCCAAACCACCATTTTCAAAGTTCTCTTAAAAAACAAAACAAAACCCTCTAAATATCAGTTTCATTTAATTGATTTATTCTCATCTCCATCTAAGGTTCCAGAAGCTTGTCATCTTACAGCTCCTTCAGTAATTTTTATTCCACACCAAAAAGGCAAGACCATACCTTGAAGGATGTGAGGATGCAGCAACTTAAAAAATAAGAAGCTTCCAAGACAACTGCTTCTGAAAGGTGGCTGCATCATTAGTTTTGCTTAGGCCCCTTCAGAGATCATTATGGACAGAAATTTCAAAACTGAATTCCAATGATGTGCAGAAAAGAGAAGGTGAAGCGCCCCACCCAAACATGGGGCCACAGTTTTCTTACCCGAGGGATGGGTTTGACTTCAGGTACTCCATTTGTGCAGCTTGAATCGACTTCTCTCCTTGTGTTGGAGATTCAAATCTCACTAAACCCATTCCTTTAAATCTCAGCTTAGGGATAGGCATTTGTAGAATCTACTTTAAGTTAGCCTTCTGCTATCATGAAACAATTCACACAGACCATTTTAATTCAAGGTAAATTTGCTATTACTCACTTTGTTATTAATTGTACTAAACATATTGATATAGGTTTATATCTTGTTTTCCAATTCCCATACGATTTTGAATAGATTTTAAAAAAAATATGACCACTTCTCATATCATCCCCCTCTGGGCATCTACGATAAAGCATTGATTGTCAAAAGCTTGATACCTGAATATTCATTTTTTCATAGAACATCGGATTGTGATTTTCTGTCCCCTTTTTCATGGATTATCAAACACCTGATGCTTGTTATTGAAATACTGTGGGATATGCAATTTAAAAGAGAAGTGGCATGGACACTACCAAACGTAAAATAAATAGCTAGTGGGAAGCAGCCGCATAGCACAGGGAGATCAGCCTGGTGCTTTGTGACCACCTAGAGGGGTGGGATAGGGAGGGTGGGAGGGAGGGAGACGTAAGAGGGAAGAGAGATGGGAACATATGTATATGCATAACTGATTCACTTTGTTATAAAGCAGAAACTAGCACACCATTGTAAAGCAATTATACTCCAATAAAGATGTAAAAATAAAATAAAATAAAATAAAAAATAAAAGTCAGTTGTTCTAAGAGATATAATTACATTTATTGAAGTTGCTTTATAAACAACTATCATATAGCCTTATATATGCTTCTATTTCTTAGTAATTATATATCTTTATAAATTTACTTTTTGCATTCATGAAATAAGGAAACAAGATAATTTAAGTCGCTGGACATTCATTAACCATGTCCTAAGTGCACAGGAGGAGATACAGTGAAAGTTTTCTGTAGCAACCTACTCCTATAGCCATGATTCTCGACCCTGGCTGCACACTGGAATCAGCTAACTGGATTAGTATTTCTGAAGATGGAATCTGGGCATCTGTATTTTAAAAAGCTACACAGTGTTTCTGATGTACAGTCACTATTGAGAACTTCAGGATTTTAGAATAAAGTCTACACTTCCATGCATAGCTTTTAAAGTTGTTCACAATCTGGCTCCAATCTACCTTTCCAGTTTCTTATTTTACTGTTTTCCTCTTTCTGCAAACCAGCCAATCAAATTCTCTTGGCTGTTATCTGAGGAACGGCTTTCTTTTCTTTTCTTTCTTTCTTTTTTTTTGGCCCCTCCAGGCGTCACGAGGGAATTTTAGTTCCCCAGCAAGGGACTGAACCGGGCCCCCTGCAGTGGAAGCGAGGAGTCTTAACCATTGGACCACCAGGGAAGTCCCAGAATCTGCTTTCTAAAGTTTTTTTTTTTTTTTTTTAACTTGTTGCCAGAAAAGTCCTGAAGAATTAGGATGTTACCCATAGTTACGAGCTTGGAAGGTAGGCTACACAGAGAGAGAGTGGTCGAACAAAGAAAACACCATGAATGGTACTTTGTAACTTTAAACATGTTTCTAGAGTGAATTATAGCACACTCTCACTAGCCCCAATAAATATTTTTATTCAGCTTTCAGTTTTTGATGATGAAATTTCAATTACACTTCCCACACAGCAAACAAAGAGGCCCAAATCGGGTAGTGTTCAAACCATCCAATCAAACAAAAATTCACCCAAAGCAGTTCCATGAGTTTTCTGGGGTCCATAGCCCACTTCTTTTCTAGTTCTCACACATTAGAAACAACCATACGGAGTGAAAAACATGAGGAAGAGCGATTCTAAAATTGGTGGCGGAGGGGACTCGGGGGTAGCGCTGGATACAAAAATTGGGGTTGGGGAGATACCTGGTCTTTGAGGTTAGTCCTGCGGGCCCGGGAGCTGCTGAAAACAGGAACGGACCCACTCGCTCGTATCCCTCTCTGCAACGGGAATATGGTGCGGGCGTCCCTCAGCCTTCCTCTCTAGGCCTCCATAGGAAGGATTCCTGGGCCTGAGCAAAGCCGCCTCCGCAAGTTGGGTTGAAGGGATAGCCTCTGGCTCAGCCCAAGCATCAGTGGCGGGTCAGGCGCCGTGGTGCGTGGCGTTCCCAGGGCAACCGGAGGTTTTTTCCGGTGCGGAGCCACGCCTCCTCAGAGGTCTCAGCGCGTCAGCCGCCGTGCTCCTGTTAAGGGATTGAAGAGCTCCCCCAAATGCCAGAGGCATAGCGAGGAGTATTAAAGAAGTGTAAGCGAGATTGAAGGGGTGAACTGCCGCCTCCCACCGAGGAGCCGCGCTATTCCCCGGTGGAGCATAATGGGAGTTGTAGGCTCGCGCACAGGCTGCTGGGAAGTGTTCGGCGTCCGCGTTGGCTTCGGGCCTTTTTCGCCGCGCGGTGTCTCCGCCCTCTCGGGAAAGTCAGCTCAGAGGGAGCGGCGCACCTTGTGGCGCCCAGAGCGCTGAGGAGTGTGCGTCGACGTCGAGCGTGGGCGCAGCGTGGTGGCGACGACTGTGGGACCCGACTATGAGCTCTAGGGCGAGAAGTACGCCAGAATTGCCTGGTTGCCCATCGCATCCACCCTTTAACAGGCTGTTAGGCCTCAGACCCCGGAGTCCTGGAGAAGCAAAACCGTTCGTGTGGGCAAGGAGAGGAGATAAACTCACAGGCATTATTCGGCAAAGGAAGTCTGCCTGAACCTGGTTTCTGAGCTGTCTGATCTCTTGAAGAGATTTCTACGAGGCATAATCCTCTGCGATTACAGTACAGTCCCCAGAATCAAATCGGCAGGTGGTCAGGAGTCTGTAGTCCCAATGCTTTAAGTTAACCACCCTCTTAAATTGCTCTGGGGTATTACAGTAATAGTAAATGACTTATCTCCTTTGTTAGCCAGAAGTATGAGATTCTTTACCCCCTCCAGCTACCTAGTGTCATATTTACTACCCTACCTGTTCTTTGGCCTATCAATTTCGGCCTATTAAGTGGATTAGCAGGGTGAAAAAAGAGACTAGAAGGAATTATATAAAAGTAATAATGGGGGAAAGGTTGTATTTGCATGATCATAGGATGCATTTTATTTTATTTTCCAAATTTTCAAATGCAGTTGTTATTTTTACAATGGAAAAAAAAATGTTCTGGGCTAGTGACTCTTGTTGAAAGATGAAAACTAACAAAACGCAAAAACAAAAAAAAACTATAGTTGCATATCCAAAAGAACTTACTTACCAATGTCCTTGAAAAAATGGAGTACGGAAATATATTCCGCCTTATTGTGTAGCCTTAGGCCAGTTAATGCTGCTCTATTGTTCAGCTCCCTCACCTTCAAAAAGACACTAAATATCTCATCTGGTGGTTTTGAGGAATAAGTAGGTAACAGAGGTATGCATGTTTGGCACATAGTAGGTGTTCAGTAAACAATTTCCTATCTTCCTTTGTCCTGCAATTTTTATTATATGGGTAAGATTTTTAAATGTGGTCCTTTTAACTTCTGACACTGAATTTATAGTGAGGTATTAATTACTTTTCTGTGTGTCTGGGTATTGTGACTCACTTTGATAAAAGTTGGAAGCTAAGTACTTACAGCCGGATTTTGACTTTTTTTTTTTTCCTTAGAGCTAAGTAGAAATCTTATGTTTCAGGAAACTTTAGTGTACAGACAATTTTTCCTATTTGGAGTTGATATTTTCTGCCCCTAGGTTGAGTTCTGTTTTTGCTTAGTACAAAACATTCGGTGAACACTGGAAATGAAATAGAGAGATTGGATATCCAACTTTTCAGTCAATTTAAGCAGATTTCATAATTCTTTTTTAAAAATTTGCTAAGTGAATAGTTATCTTAAGGTACATAATTCTCTTACAAAAATTTAGCTAAGTAAGTAGTTATCTTAGATAAGTGTAGTTGATATGTTGGCTTCTAATTATTAGAGATGAAATAGTGGTCATGAAACCCACAATCTACTCAATAATCTAGAAAATGTCAGTTTTGAAACTAACAACCTTTAAAAAAGTAAATACTTCACATGGTTGAATCTGCTGTTTTGGTGCTTTGCCAACCGAAACAGCTCTCAACAATACACTCAAGGCTCAGCATAAAAATTGGTTTCACTTGATTTAAGAAGTTAGTTTGGGTCTCCTTATTATGATAATAAGAAGCTTTATAAATGGTTCTTAATTTTATGAAGGCTTCTTAAGATACCTGTATAAGGAAAGAAAGTTTCAAGTACTTTACTACCAGTTTAAATTTCATACTGGCTTCTGGAACTGTGGTAAGAATTATAAAAGAAAGAAGAGTGAGATATGGTGAGTACAGTGCTATTCTGATTAATTCAGGATACTTTTAATATATTTTCTTACCAGCAACTTTTAAAAAATATAGAAAATCCATGATTGGTAATTTACTGGATGTTTTTGGAATAAATATTGATAGTCTAAAGCTGTTTGAACAGTTGTACATTATGTGTATCTGTCAGTCATCTGCAATTTGTATACAGTATTACCTATGCAATGAACAATTTAATTCACTTGAATCTCACAAACTATTTTGCTGATATAAAATCACTATAAAAATATGTACTAATTATTTATAGTGACTTATGTGAATTTATGTCTTGACCTTAATGCTATTATTGTGAAAAATTACAGCTATGATTTTGTCTCTAAAATTACTAATATATGTAAAGAGCATCTAGATTTAATAGACTAAAAGATAAATTATATTAAATATGATCAACCCGACAATACAAAAAAGTCACAAATTCAACCACCAGAACTGTAACTTTTATTTGCTAATAGATATTTTAATAAACAGGCTTACTCCATCTGTAAGACCCTGATAATGCCTCTTAGGAAATCATAGAAAAATAAAATACAATAATTAGTAACTTGTACTTTGTACAAAAATCTTATGTTGCTCAGCAGGTAGTTTTGCTAAACACCATATTCTTTCAGCAAATAGATAGATAGATGACATATGTAATGCAATTCACCGCAAACAATCCCTCATTGAGAGCTGAGCATTCTATAACACTATAACTTGTAAGCATGCCAGCATGTGAAAATATACATGGAACATCATAATATTACAGTAGATTTTATAAGATGAAAACAATACCACCTTCAAGTAAGTCTGGACTACTTCATTGTCATAGTGAAGTAGATAATAGGTAGGATTGCAGTTCTGTTGTAAACACCCTCTTACTGTGTTTATCTTTCTACCATATTGTGATACAACCAGAAAAAAGAACATAGGCTGTGTAAGGAACCTGAGTGAAAGGCATATATTGAAGCTCTAAATAGTGATGTAATACTGAAGAGAAAAAATAATGCAGTGCTGCACTTCCTTCTCACAAACAGATCTTTTCCCCTTTTTGCAAGAGTAGATGGGTACAGTGCTAAATCCATAATTAATGATAAATAACTTTATGACAGGTTACAAAGAGATA